CAGAACAGAAGATGGTCAGAAAAAGGAAAAATAGCAATTTAGCAGGCAAGTTTACCGGGTAAGGAGTGAGCCAGTGGGGAGGGTTCCCGTGGGCCATGTGGGTGGTGCAGCCTTGTGTTTCTGCACAGCCTGGATTAATTGCTTTGGGGGGGGTGCTCTGGGGGTGAGATTTCTCTATGGCCCACCAAAATTTGCTCATGGCCCACCAGTGGGCTGCAGCCCACCGGTTGGTGATCGTTGCACTAAACTGTAGTGTGGGTTGTGTGTTTTTGAATTCATCCTGTTCCTACAACGAAACTTATGTCAGGATTTGCTAAGTTTGAGGCTTTATTGTAGCTAAGCATCCTCCAGCCAAGGAGCATGGCAGAAATAAGGTCTGCCAGTTGGGAATCAAGAAAATTTCAAATATTGTATTACCAGGTAGAAGAAACGAGTACACTGAGAGCAGAAATTAGATCTGGCCTAAATAATAAGTCCTAGCATATGAAATTGGAATTCCAGCAAACTATCATAAAACACACATGCAAAAATTGCTTGCAAAAATGTACAGTTTGGTTTCTTTTTAGAATAAAATGTACTTGAGAGATTACATTTTTTTCAAGTTAATTATGTTCACTGAGCATTTTCCTTTTTTACTATGTGAACATGAGGAAGTCAATGAGATATGTACTATCCCACGATATCGTTAACACCTGTAAGAATAGTTTGCATACTTTAATTCACAACAGTTTTTAAGAATAATCTATGTCATACTCTAAGCAAAATACATTTCTTTGTAAACAACAGAAAAACAATGCAGGATTAGCATGTAGTTTAATTATTTTCTCAGAACTGATTTTTTTTAGAAATTAGTTGAATCTGTACATATTTTGTGCAAAATAATGTGTTTAAGGCAACAAGTGAACAGATAAATATGTTTGTTTTATATTTATTTAAATTGTTAGTTAAAATATGTATCTATCCATGGAAATAAAATTCATGAAATAATGTAAGCAAACTGTAGGTAGGCTTTAGAAGGTAGCTCCTTTCCTGGAAAAGTTTAATTAAAATTTACAAGATTCAACTTTGGCAGGAGTGTTTACAGAGGCACCCAGTGAAGGGAGAGGATTATTCCCAGAGTAAATGAATGGCTAACTATAGATATGATCCAAAGGCAATGCACTTTATGCTGTGAGGATTTAAATACCTCATACTGTTCTCCCTCAATTTTTCTTCATTGGATAATTTATCAGACAAAGTATAAAATAATCCTTATTCTGCTATCTAAAAATCATTCCCCACTATCTAGTCAGAGCTGAACAAGATTCTTGGTAGAGAAGAGAAACGTCTTCAAAGAAAAGAAGAAATACCAGAAAGTCCAGTTGAAAAAACATCTTTGGGACAACCATGACCATAGACAATTAAAAATGTAAAACATTCTTCACACTATATGTACTGCTATTCTTTCAGATCATCAACTAAGCTAATAGTGAATTCCGTTCCCCAAATATCTACCTTAAGAAATTAAAATGGCTCCACCCAGACACACAATCCAGAGCAATAAAGCAATGAGCACAATCACATTCCAGAGCAATCTTAAAGTAACATCAACTAGGGTAGAATCCAATGACATACTTATGAGAATGGAAGCCAACTATGTACCCAGAAAAGAAGAAAAACAATCTACCTTTCTCCATGTAAGTTTCCATACCCTCAAAGCCTCCTCCAAAGGTCCCCCTCAATCCTTTGACACAGATTTGGAGGATTTGAATCCAGAATGGAGAGTTAGTAGGAGTCTTGGAGCATGAGTAGATGTCAACATCTATTTTACAGTATTGCATTTCACACCTAAGGATTACCATATTCAACTGAATCAGTGGTGGGATTCAAATTTTTTTACTACCAGTTCTGTGGGTGTGGCAGGGGAAGGATACTGTAAAAACTCCAGTCAGAGTCAGTATTTGCTGGCTCTCTGAACTACCCAAAATTTCCTCTACTCCAGAACTGGTCAGAACCTGCTGAATACCACCTCTGAACTGAATCCATTCCTCAGTGAACCTCCCCACTATTTCCCAATTCTTGCCTCTAAATCTTCCATTTTTAAAATGACTGGTCCTTCTGACCATAGCCACACAAATCTCATGACAGAGTACAAGGAATAAAGAGCAGCAGATGACAGCATAGTACAATAGCATTTATTAATTGTCTTAGATGGCCTTCATAGCAGAATCCCTGTGTGGAAGAGGACCCACACTTCAGATAAACACATGAGTTCTGAAGAGACAATTTAACACATACTTTTGCTCCAGCTTATGAGATGTATATTACTGATGACCGACTGCAGTCTTGTTTCAATACTCACTTAGGAAGTGTTCTCCCCCCACAATCTTAAGGAGTCATTAGCTTTTAGAATTAGATTTGGTTAGTTAACTTGGGGCAACTCTTAATTACACAAGCAAACAGCTCTTTACTTCTCCAACTATTTACTTCAGTTCAATTTCTCCTTGCTAGCTCTATCACAGGGGTGTCAAACTTGCGGCCCATGGGACTTATGCATCACATGTTGGCTCCGCCCCTGCCCAGTTTAGTAAAGAGGAAGAAAGTCCCGATAAGTCACATGATGCCACTGTGATGCCACGTGTTTGACACTCCTGGCTCTGTCACATACTTCACTATTTATCCAAAGCAGCTATTGTCTCCATTTTTAATATCTTTCACTTGCATTGAAAATTGCATTTGAAATTGTCACTCACTCCAAAATCTGCTGTAACAATTCTATTTGCTCCCTTACTGCCCCCAATAATGCAGGATTATGGCCAGCCAGTCACAGAGACTGTTATTTAGAAACAATTATGGTTCTGCACCATAATAAATTAAAAGTATTTTAATTCGTTTCTTTCTTTTAGACATATGATGGAATTTTGGAGAACAAAAAATGATATGTAATTTTTTTCATTAGAGTAATGAGTGTGAAAGATGTCTGATCTGATCTTATTTTGGAATGCACAGCCATTGATTCACTATACTTAAAATGAACAAATCAAACACATGTGATTGCAGATTATTTCTTCAGGGAAATCAGATGCTTCATTTAACTGTCCCTGTAGCATTCATGCTGTAAAAGCAGCATGCATAATGAGCTTCCTAGAGAGTTTAATTATTAATTAAAATGTATCAGCAAGCTAATTATAGAAAAATAGCTTACTTTTATAACTTTAAAATACTGGATGATTTCTATACTCAGAAAAGTAAGTCTCTTTTACCCTTACTACTTTGATGAAAGTCCTCATTAAAAAAAAGTCTTTGCCTATTATGTAATTACATAAAAGGAGGACTAGGAGGAGAAGGAGGAGGCATCTCCAAGTAGGTCAGGTTTCTTGTCAATTTTGTGGGAGTTGCAAATTGCTTGTAGGAAGCAAACCAATGATAGCTATTTGATGCCCTGAAAGGAACGATTCCTCTCAAAAACAGTACTAGAAAACTATTTTCAACTGCTAAGTATCCAAATAATTTGAACTGATTGATTACATAGTTTAACCCAGGGGTGTCAAACTCACAGCATCATGGCATCGTCACGTGACGTATCAGTACTTTTTTTCCTCTTCGCTAAAACAGGCGGGGGCAGGGCCAGCAGATGATGCATCCAGCCTGAGGGTCGTGAATTTGACACCCCTGTTTTAACCTGAGGATTATTAAAACAATTGGACATACATGGATTCTCCAGTCCTCTATAATGCTTTTAAATGCTTTATATAAAACACTTTAAATATATTATGTAAAAAATCTGCTATAATAAGGGCTGCTTAGTTCTTTGGACTTAATTTGGAAAAAATGCTTTGGAATGCACAGCACTGCAAGCATTGTACCTTTAGTACGGTGCTCTTTAAGCAACCACAGTGGTATCTTGGTAGTCAACTACTTTGAAACTCATCAAATTTAGTACTCAGAGCATTTTGATGCAAAAATGCTCCGTCCCAGCACTCATTGTTTGTTTGGTACTTGATGCACAAGTTAGAACTTGTAAGTGTCGGCTTCCTTGTGACTCATTATTCTTTATGGGAAAATTTTGTTTAGTACTCAGTTTTTGGTATTTCATTGTGCCTCCCAGAACCAATTAACAAAGAATACTGAATTGCCTTTACCAGTATCTCTCTTTTTAGGTTGTGACAGCTGTTAAGTGAACCTGAAGGAAAAATATGGCTGCCTTAATTAGTTGTAGACAAGGGCTACATTTTCATCCCCCTGTAGTACAAAGTCCTTTTTGGGGATGAGGTCCAAAACACTGGACAGATTTGGTTTAAATCTTAGTTTGAGTTCTTTTAGGCTCATCAATTCCTCACATTTCCACAATAAATATGAGTATTATTTTTCTTATTTATTCCATTAATATCTTAAAATGTCCATGGTTCACTTATCCTGATAAACGCATAACACCTTTTCTCAAAAGGGCATCACCAATTGTGATGAAAAATATATTTAAGATATTACGCTTAAAAACAACCCTGTTCTTATTAACAATCAGATCTGTTCATATTCTCAAAATGACAACACAGGGATTCTTTACATTTCTGATGAAAAAGGTCGTCATAGCTCATATACCTTTATGCTTACAATCTTGGATTGTTAATATAAAAGTATATGAGCTATGGTGACCTTTATACTGGAACATCTTTTCTCTTGTGCTACTGGGTTAGGACACCTACAGTTTCATCCTATAATACCATTTTTCTAGCCGGACAGAAATAAAAGCATCAGGTCATTTGGAGGGGAAAGAAACTGGAGACCCGGAAATAATACACAATAAGTGGGGGGACAAGGCTGGAAGATTACGATTGAAGAACTGCATGAATCCCGAGATTGCAGTTTCGACTCGGCGAGGCATGGCAAGCAACGTGCTTTGTTCAAAGCGTGGACCGCGCCAGAGCAGGCAATTTGGGTTTAAATACCATCCTATCACAAAGCAAATCACCCCCCCCCCAAATTCAGCCACCCGCTGATTTTATTTTTTATTTTTTACACTGTCATGTGTCATCTTTGGAAGCAGCCAGCGCCACCTGTGCGCTAAGCGAGGCAAGGCGGGGGTAGTACGTACCCAACAGCAGCAGGCGGTGCGTTTGCTTGTATTCCCGCTTCTGTTCCTTGAGCGCCCGGTCAATGCTCTTGCTAACTCGCCTCGCTTCCTTCTCCGCCTCCCGCTCCTCCAAGCGCCCCTTCTCCCAGGGCTTCTGCAGCGCCAGAGGCTGTTTGCCAGCGGCGGGCTTGGCCTGAAATGCCGGCGGCCCCTGCGGCGATTCCCGTTCTTTCTCCCGGGGAGCCGCCCCGTTCCCTTCTCCGTTCTGCAGGAGCAGGAGCGGCCCGTCCGCCTCCCCGGCGCGCGGCTTTCCAGCGGCTCCTTCACTCTCGCCGCTGATGCTGTTGCTGCCGCTTCCTTTCGCTGCGCTTCTGCCTTTGGCTCTCCCGGCCTGGGCTCCGGGCAGGAGCGGCGGCGGCGGCCGGGCCGAGGGTTCTGCCGTGGGCGATGGCTGTTGTTCTGTCTCCGAGGTGGTCGTGGCGGCAGCGCTGGAGATGGAGCCGCCGCCTGCTGCTGCTGCTGCTGCTGTGCCGGGTTCGCCAAAGAGCCGCGGACGCAGGCTGTAGCAGAGCCCCATGTCTGGATGGCCCTTCGGGGAGCGAAGGAAGTGGGCGCACGTCTGGGCTGGCGGCGGGAAAGGAGGGACTCAACGGTTAGCGTTGTCCCCGCGCGTCAGGGCCGGGGGGGTGGGGGTGCGCCTGGCAGCCCCTCCTCATAAGCCCGCTGCAGCTTCTGCTGGGCCATTTTGCATTTTCCTCTCCTCTCCTCCGGACAAGAGCAGGAGCAGCTGCGGCGGTCTTCGTTGGGCGGCGGCAGTGGTAGTTCCTCGCCTCAGATCACCTGACACGAAGCCACCGTCGGGTCCACTCCACCTTACCGTAAATACGCCGGTGCGTATCCACCGCGTAGCTAAAAGCTACGGTAGAATTGGAGGGGAGACCTGATGTGTACACATGTGCGTAGTTAACTCGCGCGCAGAGCTCTCGTTCAAGGAGGGGTGGTCCTTCACGCGTGTACGCACACACGCACACACACACAAAACGCGCGGGCACGCGAAACTAGTAGGCCAAATGGTGTTATCCCGCAGAGACGGAGCTGTTATCTATATAGAAAGCAGTTGGCTCCTTGAGATAGTCGCAGAGGCGGACAACCTTGCCTTTCTTCCACGCTTAAGGGCTGCCCCTTTCATAGGCAATTATTCCACTCTGTGGCCCTTCCCAGCCAACAAATCATAGGAAGAATAAACAGATTTACAATGTTCTCCCTTTACTTCCTATTATCAAATGAGACCTGTGAATTGCTTAATCTTATCCCCCCCCCAACAAAGTATTTCCTAAGGTTCCCCCCCCATGATTTTCTCACCCGTTGTCTTTCATGTATATACAATTAGCACGCCCAGAATTCTCAGTCATTTTATAGATATTCTAATACTGATTTAGAACTGCTAATATTATACTTCTTTCATAGATTCCAGGAACGTAAAAAATGATATTTGGTGGGAATTTTTGCAAGTGCTGCCAGCTTTTAAATATTTTCAGTAAAGATCTTTTAGTGGTAGAAATACTGATGAACCCCAGGTACTGTTCCAGCTTTGATCAACAGTACTGTGTATAAACAAATAAGTCATTCTCAGTTTATGTTTTCTCTTCTAATAGTGCTTATTCAAGTAATGTTAAATAATCAAGTGTCAATCAAAGTCAGATGCGAACACTGACAGATTTTAAGACCATGGACTGATAGTTTGGGTTTGATTGGTCACTTAGGAAATTCAGATAGGACTCACTGATTCACCAATTAATAAAGGAGATGTAACCAATATTTTTATTAATGTTATTGAAGAGTACATTATACAAATAATATCTACATAAAATAAAAATATATTTAAAAAAATAAAAATAAAAAGCTTAGAAATAAAAACATCCAGAAAAAGGAGAAAAAAGAAAAGAAACCTCCCCTTCCATCTCAACATGGATCAAAGTGAAAAAAAAATTATTGCTATCTCTAAAACTAAAGCCAAGCATATCTTCAACCCATATCCTCACTCCATTCTCTATAAACCAACCTGTAAAGCCTCATCTCTCCATCTTAATTAGCAAATATTCATTAAAGGTTGTCAGAAATAACAATGTAACTTTTACAAATTATATCTACTAAGCCAATTTGAATCCCTCCTATTAATTTATATCTGCCTTTCTATTCAAACTTCTCCATTTCCTATCTTTTCTGTTTCCTCTCTTCAAATAAGCAAAATCTTGAACACTTCCTCATGCAATCCTAATCAACTAAAATCCATTAAATGTTACCAAAAATAGGGTTTTGTATTTTTTCCTCCCAATAATATTTTGTTCCCAAAAAAACCTAACATCTGCTTTCTTCTATTGCCTTTGTCTCTTCTCAGAATCATTGATATTTTTGACAAGCACTGTTTGTAATTCCAGTAAAAGAAAGTCATCCACATCAGTTCATATTCTTGCTCGTTCTTATGAAATATTTGAAACTTAAGCAAGTCTTTTGCTAAACCTCATGTAGAGAAATTACATCGTTCTTCTCGTTTAATATTTGCATGTATTTTGTAATATTTAAATCATGATCCAGTTTCATATTACTTCCATCTCTTTCTTATTGACAATCATTTAAAAATCCACATTCAAATCAATTTTAATTTTTTCAGTTGAAATTTTATATAACAATGACTTCCAATTCTATAATAACAGGTAACTTTATGATTATATCTTTGCCCCTTTCATCTTAAATCTCCCTTAAGGTAGCCATTGATATTCTTGTCTTCTATTGCCCTCTAGTATCTAACCTTCAAAGTCGTCTTATCAGTTGTTTTCATAGACATTTTCCACAGGAACGTATTCTTTAATTAGATTCTTAATTTAAATTAAAAATTAAATTCTTTTAAATAACTCCAAAGTCCTTATTTAACTATAGAAAAGTCCATCTAAACCCTTTAACTGTTTAAAAACTGTCTAAAATCAACATTGTAATCTTTCTTTTGCCTATATTAAAGAAAATATTAAAATTTAAAACCATCTTTCTTAGAAAATTGAAGAAAAACTAACCCAGCAAATAGGACCAGAACAGACTGAAGGTTTTAAACAAGCAGTAACACCTCCCCCACTCAAAACAAACAAACAAACAGGTAAACTCCATATTGATTAAAATATGAGATTTGGTCAAACCTTTAAGTCCATTAAAGGCTCCATTACTGACTATGAGCTTGGTGAAACTTGTGATTCCCAGCTATTTGCAAGAGATTGCAAAAACATCAGTTTCTGCCATATACTCAGACAAAAAACAGCTGTCAGGTGTATGTATGGGTGATCTCAAGATCTGTTTTTCTCCGGAAAGATTTTCAGTGGTTCAGATCCAGCATTTAGTTTCCTTTTCATCCATAATATCTCCTTCAACCCATGGGACATTTCTCAGCAAATGTTTCTCCTGAGACACAACCAGTTATGAAGCACTGATATACTAGAACATTGTTACTCAACTTTAGCCATTTTAAATTGGCTGGTGGTGTGTGGGTGTGTGGGTGGGTGTTCTGTAATTGGAGTCCTCCCATCTTAAAATTGTCAAAGCTGAGAAACACTGCACTAAAAGTCACCCAGCAGGCCAGCTCACTCTATAAATTTTTTTTGTTTGTTTTTGCCCTTTGTACAAATGCACATACTTCCAAATCCATCAATATTTATAATTTCTAACAGAATTCACCTGGGCTATTTGGATGGTCTCGGAAATAAAGAAACCATGTTGGCACTATTACTTTGCTATGTAGCAGACCAACTACTTTTCTTAAAGAGGTGAGGCAGGGATCCAGGCATACCGTATTTGCCGGCGTATAAGACGACTTTTTTGCCCCGAAAAACATGCCTCCAAGTGGGGGGGTCGTCTTATACGCCGGTATATCCACTGCCGGCTTTCGGATGCTTGTTGGACGCAGCGAAGGCGCCTCTGGCTTCCTGGATCCCCTGCGTCGCTTCCGCTTCATCCCGCTCGCCTCGCTCTGCCCGAGGCTGCAGCCTTCCTGCTCTTCCCACGGCCCCTGGCACTCTGCCCTGCCGCTGCAGCCCCGGGGATTTCTGGAGGGCGTTTCCGGTGGTGGTGGGGGGTCGTCTTATACGCCGGGTCGTCTTATACGCCGGCAAATACGGTATATCTCCTGGCATGTTTGGGCATCTCAGATTTAAGGGATATTTATGGAAGTTTTTATCATATACATGAAATACACTCATTTGTTGTGTGAATTGTAGGTATGCATGCATAACGTATGAATGTATCAACCTACCATTAAGCCCACCCAGATTTTATATTTGATTATTTTTTCTGGAGAAGACATATTTCCTCCCATATTTTTCTCGGAAGAATCAGATTTATTTACTCTGACCCAGTAAAGCAATATATTTCAATGCACAATTTTTTTTCTTAATTGTGAATTATTGCTGTGTGCTCCCGTAAAAATAAAGACTAATGCAAAACTTCCCTCAAAAGTTTCAGCTCTAGATTGTTTTTTCAGATGAATTACTTAAATTAAAAGAGGATAAACTTTACACTAATATTGAATTTGTGCTAAAGTGGAAATTTATATCATGCAAGCTTGATTGAAAGAAAAATTCTGCAATCCTCAAAGACTAACAGTACATAACAGTGATTTTACTCAGTTGACTTGTTTTAATTGCTATTTTATAACTACATGTTTCCTATAAATTCTTTACAGTCCAACTATAAAAGGTTTAATTAAAACTTGAGCTTGTTCATTTGTTAAAGCAGGTTAGTAAAAATACTGCTTCTGTCAACTTTATTTTTTATTATTTTTTCAATTTTTTCCCATTGCTAAGCAAGGCAATTGTTAAGTGTATTTTGCCCATTTTATGATTTTTAGCTACAGTTGTTAAGTGAATCACTGCTGTTGTTAAGTGAATCTTACAACAGTTTCCCTCATTGACATTGGTTATCAAAGGACGACTGGGAAGGTTACAGACAGTGATCACACAATCCCAGAAGAGTGCAATTGTCATAAATATATGTCAATTGCCAAGCGAATTTTGATCATGTGACCATTGGGGATGCTGCAATGGTCGTAAGTGTGAAAACAGGTCACAAGTCATTTTTTTCAGTGCCATTGTAACTTTGGTCACTAAAAGAATGGTTGTAAGTCAAGGACTACCTGCAAAACCTATATATTTTTGCAGTTACTTGAATGTTTGGTGATGTGTTTTTTCATGATTCCCTTTACTGCCCAACTTATTTTATAGCTAAAAAAATGCCTGTTCCGCACTAACCATATCTTTGTTTGACTTCCTGGAAATTTTTGCCCATTCTTCTTAAAATCAGAATATATTTTTACAAAATAATCCCATTTTTTAAAAAATAAGTTACTATTGATTAATATTAACAATGTACACTAACATTCCTAATTTTTTAGACTGCCATTTTAAACACACTCCCTATAAAATGTACATAAATGTATGAGGTTTAATTCCAAATAAAGGTATTTTGGACAGATCTTTTTAAAATTATGAAACACATGATCTGTTCAAACAAATCAGAAACATAATTCAGAGGAAATTA